AATGGTCCAAGAACAAAGGATTTTGGAGCTTGGAAGAGAGAGAGAGAGAGAGAGAGAGAGAGAGAGAGATTTAATGAGAGAGCTCAAAACCAAAATTTTCTAACCCTCCAACACAGCTAGGAGCTGATGGTTTTATAAGCAAAAGAGTTGGAAAAGAGGGGGAAAAAAGGGAGGGAAAACAATTCAAGTTTCCCCCCAAAAAAGGCCAAAAAGTGGGATATAAAGGCAAGTGGTAGCTGCTGGACCCAAATGGCTGAGAGCCCTTCAACAAATGTAACTTTTCAAAAATCAATTACGCCTTTTTCTGAAATTCCTTACGCCTTTCGTGAAAACTTATACATTTTTTGTGACCATTTATACCTTTAGTCATATAATATATTATTTTATTAATTTACCTGGAAAGTGACTTGCTTAGCAGGTCACCAATGTGTAAGTTTTCAAATATTTTCATATAACCCAATATATACAAATGTGTAAATGCAAAATAGAAGGGTGTAAGTGCCTTGCATACCATATGCAAGGCACACATAAGAAAAGTCCAAGGGGGGGTATATCATATATAAATTATGATATTTAATTCAATCTTATAAGAGTCTTAACTAAAATAAAAAATTAAAAAAGTTACATAAGGAGCTCATTTGGGAAGGTGGCTATTTTGATTAGCTTTTTACTATTTTAGCTTGACTAAAAAAGTTGTGCTTAGAAAGATAGCAGGCTTTTTTTGTAGGTAATTTGATGGTTATGAAAAAAAAAATGAAATAATTATGATTTAGATGTGACATTTTATCGTATCAACTATTTGACTTTATTTTGTCTTTATTGACTATTTTAGCGCAAAATCTTCTTTTCAAACAGGGCCAAGGTATAACCAAAAAATGTTTGGATCATAACCAAAACAATATCATAATCAAAAAGTTACTAAATTAGCCAAAAAGTCAACAATCCATACAAAAAAATTAAAGATTCTATTTTCTCTCTACTTTTTGCACATCTTTTCGTAAAAAGTCAAAAAGTCGTCCCAAACATACTAGTTTTTTTTAGCTAATATTTTAGCCAAATAACAAAAAAGTTATTAAATTAGCCTGTTCCCAAACGAGGCATAACTAACACAAAATGTATATAACTAAATCATACTCAAGTTTTAACTAACATTTTGATAGGTTATAACCGAAGATCTCAAAGATTGTAATTAGGAGAGAATTTCTCATATATATATATATATATACTTTTTTAGAGTCTCAAATATTCTTTTGTATGTATATGTATGTATATACAATGTGGCAGTCATTATGCAATTGGTTTACTATTATGTCATTGCATATTGCTATCCAAATTCAAAAATTAGACTAATTTTCTAAACTCAGTAATGTGTTAAGAATATGATTGGTTAATAATTAAATATTCTCTAATTATAAACCAATCATCTTATTAACACATCAATAAATCTAAAAAGTGAGTCTAGCAAGTGAATTTGTATATCATTTTTTTACTAATTAACTTTTTTGTGTGTGATTGTTTGTCTAATTTACCTCCCTACAGTACATTTATTAATTAGTCATTAAGCTTCAACCAACCTCTCACAATAGTCTAATAATCGGTGCTTTGAAATTTTAACTTTTTACTCAAGGAACATAATCTATTTCTGTTAAAACGATGTTGTACATAATTACATTTTTTAAATTTTTTTTTCTTACTTTTAAATATAAAATAATGAGATCCATATTTATAAATACATATAAAACTCACTCACTTGTATTTTGAAGTAAAAAAATGAGGTAAAAATATAATTCTGGGTAACATTTTCTTTTTTATTGTAAGTTTACGAGTAGATGGTTTGTGAGTTCAGCTTCTGTTAGCTATTTCTATATTCTGAACTATTAAATTTTGAAAAGAATTACAATTCAGTGATATTTTCATAAAATAATAACAAGTTAATAGAAAAATTAATTATTTTAATTATTAATATTCATAACAAATTTCACTGATTTAAAATTATTTTTAAAAACTACACCGAATTATAATTGTTCCTAAATTTTAGAGGGGGAATTAGCATCCAATGGTAATATAAAAAATATATTACAAATTCATGAAAAAAATTTAAATTTTTATTATTAATATTAATTAAAAGTTTCACAAATTTATAATTTATTTTTAAAAGTTTAACTATTAATTTTCCAATTTTAAGAGACTGACGGAACATTCCAAGCTGATCTCCATATTAGCATTTAACTCTCTCCTTGCCGTCTTTGACCCTTCCAATTTGGAAAGCCCAGTCTTTGTGGAAATGACTAAAGATAAATGATGTTTGAATTTGTTGATTCTTCGAAAATAAATTTATTTTCTAAATTTATTAATTAATGAGAAAATTAATAAAACATCTCTTTTCAACTTTGGGTAGTAGAAGAGGTTTAATATGTTTTTTTTTTATTATTATTAGTTAAGGTCTCTCAATAAAATTTCTCAGTGATAATCCTAACTTCCAATCCAAGACCGGCCTTACAGCTAGGCAGCTCAAGCGCCAGCCTAAAGCCACATTCCTGTGAAGGTCTCATAATTTTATTTATTTTTAGTATGTTTTTTTTTTTGATCAGCAAAGAAGGGAGACTTTATTGATGAAATGAGCCAAAACAAGCAACAAAATACATCAATAAAGGAGGGAAGTGCAAAAAGCATCATAGCAAACACTCCACAATCCCAACTAGGTTGGCACCAAGGAGGAAGCACAATCATCTGCTAGCACTACACCCACAGATTGGCAAGAGACCAATTCAAAACAAAGAAATAGAGACAGAAAAATAAAAACCTCCCAATCACACAGCATTCCAAATCTGCCAATTTGTATCCCAAGACTGCATCGATTTGTAGCAGACCACCCATTCACACCAGTAGCAAACCCAAATCAAGACTTTTGTAGCCCAAGGCTGTTGCACTCTCCTAGTGTAACCCAAGTCCAAACTGCCCAGACAGCAACCGGTGATGATTGTTGAATGCTCCATTAGCAGCCAGCTAAGCACAGAATTATGCATCCAAACCAGAATTGTGCTGCAACAATGGCCAATTCAGAAGGCTGACTACCAGCACACCTGCGTGGGATCAGAGGAAAGAGCACAAACAGAACAGGGCACCCCCTTCAGCCATCAACACTTGCAGCCAGCAGAGCTTGACCTGCGTCTATTAGCAGAACAGAGTTCACCAACTAAGATCCTAGACAACACCTGACTTGTGAAAAATTAAACACGACATCATTGACAGAAAATGAAGCATCCCTGAATTGAGATCTCATCCACATTGCTAACCTCACCTTGATACATTCACACAGGGCCTGAAAATTGGGTTGGACTGCCTTAAACACACACTCATTTCTATAACTCCACACAGACCACAACACTGCTGCTGGGAGGGTCTTCCACACCAGATTTACTTTTTTCCTAAACTTCCAACCCAGCCACCAGATTAAGAGACCATCTATGGATTTGGTAATAACCCATTGAATACCCCACCAATCGATAATAGCAGACCAAATTTTCCAAGTAAAAGAACAGTGAAGCATAACATGGTCAAGAGATTCTCTGGCCTCGTGACAGAATATACAATTAAGGACTTCTTCCCCCTCTAGAATTCCAACCCTATGAAGCAAATCTTTGGTTTTCAATCTTCCTCTCCAAGCTAGCCAAGAAAAAAATTTGGCTTTCGGTGGGGAAAAATTATTCCAGATAAGATCGACTGATCTGTGAGTAGGACCATCATTGAGCATACCCCAAGCATAAACAGCATTAACCTTAAAAGTACCTGGCTGAGCAGCCTTCCAACCCAAACTGTCAACTACCTCACTTCTTAGAAGAGGGCCTGACCCCAGAGCAGTGGTTAACCTGACCAGCTCTCCTTCTTCCCAAGCCCGAAGTGGTCTGTTGAAGTTGAAAGCCCACCCAGATTGACTAACTCTTCTGGCTACTTGAACATTCAGGGAAGTCTCTTTATCAATAACCAACTGGAATAATCTAGGGAATTGGCTTAAAAGATTTGTAGAACCCAACCAATTGTCTCTCCAGAAACTAATTCTTTGCCCATTACCTATTAAGATTTCCACATTATCCTTGTAAAATTGGATAATACTGCCATTTCTCTGCGCCACTGATAAGATGTCTTTCCAAATCTGGGATATAGGACCATGAGCTTCCTTATCAGGGAACCATCTACCCCCATCTGAACCATACTTTTCGCAAATAACCATCTTCCATAGTGCCTCATCCTCTTGCCCATATCTCCACCACCATTTTAAGAGCAAACTATCGTTGGCTAAGCTGATGTTTTTGATCCCCAGCCCTCCTTGTTTCACACTCATGCACACTTCTTTCCACCTGACTAAATGCAACTTCCTACTACGCTCAGAGTCACCCCACAAAAATGATGCTTGAATCCTATCCATCTCTTTAGCAACACACGCAGGTATTTTAAAAAGAGACATGTAATACACAGGTAAAGCAGACAACACGGACTTAATGAGTGTGACTCTACCAGCAAAAGATAACACTCTTCTCTTCCACCCAGTTAACTTTTTCTTGAAATTCTCTACAACTGGCCTCCAAGTCAAACTCCTACTAGGGTTGGCTCCCAGTGGTAGTCCTAGGTACTTCAATGGTAATTTCTTGCAGCATAGATAGTAGAATTCCTCTGGCTTGAAAGAAGTCCTCTGGCTTTGCAGTTGTGCTTTTGTTGCAGTTTGGGCAGCATAGATAGTAGAATTTCTGGTTTACATTGGTGATAGTGGCACAAGCATTGATCCAATATCTTGTAGTCTAGGAAATTAAATTGAAAATTGTAATTAGTATGAATTTTAAATTAGGAATTATTATCGTAAAGTAAAAAATGAACTCTTAAATTATATTCAAATTAGGAATTTCTATTAGGGTATTGTTATCGTTTCTCATGAATTTAAATTTCTAACTTGAATACAATTAGGGTTATCGTAACGTAAAAGGTGAATACAATTTAATTGGTTACTAATTGTTACTATTGTTATGAGTTTGCCATCGCATTCCTTGATTGCTGCCCAAACCTCTGTTCTTGAGAACTCCTTCACCAAACAAGATTGAATCTGGTTTTGATGCCACTGCTTGTTTCAACTCCGCAGGATCCTCATATAGGGTACCATTAATCTTCAGTGAATCAAGGACGTTCTTACTATGCCTTCTCGATGCCATAATATGGAAATATCTGGTGTTTTTGTCCCCTTTTAAGGACCAATTCAGTCTGGATTTCTGCAGCCATAGCCACTCTAGCCTTTTTCTAAGCTTCCACACTTCATCTCTGATCTCAGTTTTTTGTCTAACTTCAACTTCTACAAGATCTCTCTCTTCAGCTATTAGATCCCACGAGTGTAGCTCAGCCTCAGCTTCTTTGAGCTTGGACTCCACGTGTCCGAATACCTCCACATTCCAAATCTTTAGAGCTTGTTTAAGTGTTCTCAATTTCACCATAATTCTGAATCCAGCCCACCCTTCCACTTGTGTACCAACCCAAACCTTTTCAACTTCTTTAAGAAAGCTGGGATGTAGCACCCAGGCATTTAAGAATTTGAATGGTTTGGGACCCCAATCCCTATCATCTTCCTTCAATAAAATTGGGCAGTGGTCAGACAGTATTCTAGGCAGGCCCCATACCTTAAATTTAAACCACACAAGCCATTCCGGATTTAATAGGAACCTATCGATCCTACTCCAGCATGCACCTGACTGTGAATTACTCCATGTATATTTCCTACCAAGCATAGGAACATCAACCAATTCAATATTATTTAAAAATTCATTGAACTCCTGCATCCCCCTATCTCTTCTCACACAGCCTTTCCTTTCTCCAATAGCTTTAATTTCATTAAAATCCCCCCCTAAACACCAAGGTTTTGGGAAGGATGCTTTCAGGTTATAAAGGACTTTCCACAGTTGACTTCTACCTCTACAATCATTAGGGGCATAGACATTACCAACAACACAATCAAAACTGTGATAAACCATACCTGATAGCAGAATAAAATTCCTAGAACTGCAACAATTCTTCAACTGAAACACGTGAGGTTTCCATAGACATAACAAACCCCCTGCACTCCCTACTGCATCCACCTCCATATACCCCAGTGCATCTTCTGCCCATAGAGATCTGACAAATCTTTCATCAATACTTGACTTTTTAGTTTCTTGGATCAACACCATATCCACCCCTTTTGCCTTTAAGAGATTTCTGATCCTCCTCCTTTTCTCAGGCTTACCCAAGCCTCTAACATTCCATGAAAGAACTTTCATTATGGAACAACTTTGACTACAGAATCCCCGAACAGGTGCAGACTTAAGCACCACCATTCACCCCTTTTTTGGTTAGTCTTTCCTCATCTTGCCTGTCCATCTCCGAAACTTTCTGGATAACACTCTCTTCATTAACCCCAAAGTCAATACCCAAAGCTTTCCCCACCTTCACGGTTTCTTGAGCTTCATTTCGGCTTAGAATCTGTTTATAAGCCCCACTACTGATTGACAGAGATGAAGACATCACGGCTGCCTCAGCTCTGAATATAGCTCCTCTGTGAAATCCTTGGCAGAATTGGTGAGTAGAACGTAATTTCCTCATTTTTCTTTGGCTTTGCCCCTTTATTTTAGTGCCCGAAGCTTGACCACACACAGCCACTTTCTTTCCTTTGTCTCTTCCATTTTCTGGTGGTTGCGCAGGGACTTGTTTTTATACTAAAGGCCCATATAAAATGCACAATTCTTTCCTTTATTATGTTCTTTTTTTCTTTTTTTTCTCCCTCTCCATTAAGGGTGAAAGTGATTTGATTTGGTTTAGTCAAGGATAGAAAATTTTAGAACAAGACTTAACCATCTAATTTTGTAGTTGAGGAATCGAAATCAATTACATATTATGGTTTAATTATGAGAGGTTGATCGATACCCACTAAAAATAAACGAGAAATTGACAACAGGCTTTACAAGTTTTGTGTAAAATCTATAAAACCTCACATCCAAATAAATGAAAAGAAATTATAGAGATGCTCTATAAATGTATTAATATTAATAATACATGTAAGAGTTTCTTTTGTGGAAAGAAAATTTTCAAAATTAAAATTGATAAAATCATATCGAAGCTCAGCTATATTTAAAGAAAAAATTAAGCAAATTAACATTACAAAAACTTGATTAAAAAAGTTTAGTTAGCAATTTTGCATCATAAAAAGCAAGAAAAAATAATTTCAAATGAAAATAAAATATTAAAAATTATTATTGTAATTTAAATAGCAAAAGGTCACATTTTAAAATTTTGCCTTAGGCCCCAAAAGGGTTGACCCGTCCTTTTTGGGGGGGGTAATTTGGTTGACCCGTCCTTGAGTCCAGTTATGATGCATTTTTCCTTCAAAGTTTTTATTGATGTGTAATCTTTTCCTACTGGTTTATCATCAATAAGTTCGCTTTTGCAGATTAAAAAAAATCCGGTAGAGTAATAAATTTTTATTTTTTTTAATAATTTGATACCCAGCTTATTGAACTAACTAATCTAAGGACCAATACCAAAAATAGCGTGTAACTAGAAGAAAAAAAAAACAAGCTAAAGAAATACCTGTTATAGAAAATAAATAATTAATAACAGCTCCATAATACGAAAAAAATAAAATAAAAATGAAAAAAAATACTTATAATAAGAAAAAAAACAATTCATTAATTTTTATTTTTAACAAATACTTAGGAGAGAGAAAGAGATAACAAAAGACTTTGACTGAGCACGACATGACCAATTATACAAAAAATAAAAATAATAATAATAAATTAAATTTCAACACATAAACTTTTTATTTAGGTGGTATTTGATAAAATTGAAAATTAAAAATTAAGTATTAAAATAATAATAATAAATTAAATTTCAACACATAAACTTTTTATTTAGGTGGTATTTGATAAAATTGAAAATTAAAAATTAAGTATTAATGAATACTGAATTTTTTAAGATAAAACTGTTTGATAAAAATTTAAGTGTTGAATTAAAAATAAATTATTTTATATGTGTAAGTCAAATTTGAAAATTATTATTTTTAAATTGTATATTTTAATTTTTATGTTGTGGTGGTGATGGTTGTGGCGATAGTTATAGTGATGGTAGTTGTAGTAAAATGATGGTAGTGTTTATTGTAACAATGATAATGGTAATGAAGGTGGTGGTGGTGATGATGGCGATGGCGGCGGTAGTAGCAGTGGCAGTGGCAGTGGCAATATGGTGGTGGCGGTGGCGACAATGGCATGATAGTGGTGGTAGTGGTGGTGGTGGCATGGTGGTGGTAAGTTTATAATAGTGTATATTGATACTTATGTTTCGTATTTGTAAATTCAGTAAGAATTAAGTGAGTTTCATATGGTTTAAAATTTTCTTAAGTTTTAGCCTATATTTTAAGAGTAAGTGATATCAATTGTGATTGGTAAACGGATTTAATTGATTATCAATTAATGAATTCAGTTTTAAATGCTGAATTAGGTTATCAAATATCCCTTACTCTACACGGTCCACGCATTGTTAATAAATATTTTTCCACACGGGTCTCATTCTTGAAAAATTATTCATTGCCCCAAGGCCAAATCTAGGTGATGTCCCAATTAAAATATTATTGGTAGACATAATAGGTCTCACTACTTGTTTGCCTCATTTGGGAAGGGAACAGTGAACACTTATCCAAATATGAATGGCATGGAGAAATACTTCTAGACTACTAAATAACTTCCCCAAAAACATCATTACTACATAGGGATAATTCTATGGTACATACCCATAAAAAAGTTATGTATCATATATCTCAGTTATGATTTTTATGGTCTTTAAATATAACATGTGGTGTTAATTATAACTTAGTTATGATATTATTTTAATTATAATTCAAAAAATCTTCAATTATATCTCATGTAATGCTTGGCTATAATTTCTTCTTTTCTTTTTTTAATTATGACTGAAGATGATTTAGTTATGAAATTTGTGATAAGTAATATCAAAAATAACATAATTTACATATGAAAGTGCGTACAATAAAATTACCTTACAAGGATATGATAACAGGAGGGTTTAGGGTTTACTAAACATACGTAACAGTAGAGTTAATTATAATTATAGAATTCTCCATTACTTGATAACATAAACATTAAGTAGCTGTTTGAATATTGGCTTTTTGGTTAAAATAATTAAAAAACTAAAATACCTAATTATATTTTTATTTTTATTATTTTACACATTTTTATAAAAAAAATTAAAAAGTCAATTAAAATAGTAACATCCCAAACGTATGGATACCTATTATGTATGTCAACAATGATTCATCCCACTAAAAGTATCACCACTAATACCACTAATGCATTAAAAAAGTTAAAAAAAAAAAAATATAAGTCCAAGACCAAAACATCACATCATTAATGACGGGACCCACTGTCACCTAGCATTTAGTGCTAATTAGTGCTCCCAAGCATTTATTCTTATGTATGTATAGCAATGATCTTTTCCTCATAGCATACGTAATAACATGGGTAATGCTGCTATATATAAGTTATGATAACCGCAATTGTCATAGGTCATAATTTAAAAAGGAAAAAAAAAAGTTATAACTAAACACTATGGGGTTATTTTGGGTGTCTTAAATAAGTGTACTTTTTGTCTTTTTAGATTAAAAAGTTGAGAAAAAAAAAGATAGATGTTTGGATTAATTTTTTGTCTTTTTATAAAAAAATATGTAATAAAAAATCATATAAATAAATGTATAGGAGATGTAACGTAGAATAGGCTGTACGGTGCGTTTTCTGTGAGGGAAGAAGATAAGAAAATGATTGCCTCCTTCGCGGGGCAACCATTTGGATTGTATTGTTCGGCCCGTGGAGTCTACCACGAGTCCCATTTTAATAATCTGAACCGTTCAATATGTAAAACTCGCTGAGTACTAAATGTTTGTAAAAAATCACATTGATCGGATATCGAAATCACATTTATCGGATTAGTTTTTGTTCACTAGTTAACTATAACACTATCCCTTTTTTTTATACAAAACTAATTCATCATATAGTTAGCAATATCCGATCAATGTGATTTTTTACAGGCCTATAGTACTCAACGATTTCTACATATTGAACGATTCAGATTATCAAAATGTAATCCGTGGTAGTCCCCACAGGCCAAACAACACAATCTAAATGGTTACCCACAAAGGAGACAATCATTTTTAAGACCAATACAGCGCACGGACAGCCATCATTTCTAAATGGTTACATCACTTCATTTTTAAGACCAGTTGTGTTGTATTTTTTATGTTTAATTTTTTTTTTTTTTTTTTTTTTTTTTTTTTATAAATAGTGATGACTTTTTCACTTTTTAAGTAATTTTTTGACTTTTTACTTTTTTTACGAGATGCAAAACCAGACCTACATAAGGTATAATTAAAGAACAGATAAATTACAGTTTGTACCATATCTCAATTTAATCCATACACATAAAATCATAATAGTTAACCCCTTACACTTCCAGTCAAGTGTCAACCTATGATGGAGGAGTTGAGTGATCTGGTAAAGATAAGGGTTGCATTATGGTTTAAAGCTTATTCAAGAGATTGTTTGTAGTCTGTTCATGATTTGGTGGATAATTTGCAACGATGAAGATACTATTCTAAAGTTCTGATTGGATTGGTGGCTGATGTACTATTCAAGTGTGGTGTTGTTGGGTTCTTTGGCCTTTTGTTGGTTTCTCATCAACTTAAAGCTTGTGTTTGCACATGATTGTGTAGGCTTCTAGTGCTAACTTAGTTAAGATTGGGAAGATTCTATTTAGATGCTTGTAGCACTCCCTCGTCTTTATTGATGTATTCCTCATATATATATGCAAATTTCATCAATAAAGTCTTTCTTCTTTTGCTAATAAAAAAAACAAAAATCAGTAATGTGATAAGTATATGACTACGAAATGAAGGCAAAGGAGGAAAATCACCTCCATTTCTCGCTTATACACATTTTGTCCTAAAATTTATATCAAATTATGACTGTATTAGACTAAAGCAAAACATATATTGTGAATGATTAAGGAAATGTACTAAGGATTTTGTAGAAATTGAAATCACGAAACTCTATTTTTCACAGTAAAATAATCTTCTATCTATTCATCTTCATTTCTCTTCCATTTCTCTACTGTTTTTTTTTTTTAAATTTCAAAAACTCTATTTTCTTGTCTCTTCATCTCAAATTTCAGCATATGAACATATATATTGTATTATATAACTCTGACATGTTTATCACGTGTAAAAAAAATATGCATTGGTTGAAAATATGGATGATTTTCCTCTCTTATTCTTATTTTGTAATCACATGCTTGTCACATGATTAGATTTTGTCAAAAACTTAAATAATAGAGTAACAGATTGGGGATATTAATACTTATGTAGAGACTAAAGTGAGATTTGACGAGAAATACATGAAGTTAATTATCACGATTTCATGTGTGAGATTTGACTAGAAGTATAGAAGGTTGATTGTCACGATTTCATGTATAAGGATCAAAGTGGAATTTGATGCAATGTATAATTTACCAACCAAAGTCCTCTTGAATTATAACCAAAATAATATCATAATTAACATCACAATAATATCACAATAAACCATAATCAAAATTATCAAATTGGTAACTAAAATTGCATAGGATACACAAATTTCCCTACATCAATAATGACACTGGAATGATGCACGGCCTTACAAAGAGAAATCTGATACGCCATTGCTTTATATCACCGTCTATGCAAATATTTAAAATTAATTTTTTTTGTAAGAAATAAATATTAAAAAAAAATATCTAAAGTGTATAATATTTTGTTATATATTTGAAAAATATAAAATGCTAGGAACTTCATCTAATGTAAAGCACTCCTCAATCACAAATCATATTTGAACAGCCTTGACAGATATTGCTATATATATATTCCTGATCAATCCTTAACCATAGCTAAGAAAAGAACATTAATCTGTTCAATGGGTAGCATGAAAGGCCAAGAATGCTCCTCCTCCAATATCTCTACTACTTATCACGTGTTCTTGAGTTTCAGAGGCCAAGACACCCGCAAGGCCTTCACTGATCACCTCTACACAAGTTTGGTGCAGGCAGGATTTCGCACATTCAAAGATGATGATGATATAGAAAGAGGAGAAAATATTAAGTTAGAATTGCATAAAGCGATTCGGGTATCAAGGATTTCAGTAGCTGTGTTCTCGAAAGAATATGCATCTTCAAGATGGTGTCTTGACGAACTTTTGATGATCCTCGAATGCAAGAGGACCTCTAAGCATATGGTTCTACCTGTCTTCTACGATGTCGATCCTTCTCAAGTTAAGAACCAAACAGGAGGCTTTGCAGAGGCATTTGCAAGGCATGAGAATATTGAGGCAGAAAATGATGAAGTAAAAAATGAATGGATGCATAAGGTAAAAGAATGAAGGGCTGCACTTAGAGAAGTTGCGGATTTGGGAGGGATGGTTTTGCAAAATCAAGTCGATGGGTACGGTAATTTTTTCTGTTTCTCTAGTCCTTGAAATTGTCATAATAATATATTTCTTTGTGCTTGTTGGAAGTATTTTGAGAAAGCTCTTGTTGTTAGTATTCAAAAATGTGTATAAAATATTTTGAAATTTATATTTGAAAATGTTTTGAAATATCTAAAATATATATTAAGATTATAAATATTTTGAGATTATATATTTCTTTTAAGTAAATTACACTTTGCACTCCTGCACTTTGCACTAAATCTCACTTTAGCCCCTATGCATGAAATCGTGACTGTCAGCCCCTTACACTTTTGGTCAAATTTCACTTTAGTCCCTACACATGAAATTGTAATAATCAACCCCTCTATACTTTTGATAAAATCTCACTTTGATCCCTACACAAGTGTCAATGTCCCATTTCTATTATTTAGTTGTTTAAATCTTTAACAAAATCTAATCATTTGATAAGAATGTGACTACGACATAAGGGTAAGAAAGGAAAATCATCTACATTTTCCACCAATGCGTACTTTATTCCAAAATTTACATCAAAATATAACTGTATTAGGCTAAAACAAAATGCAGATTGTGAACAATTAAGAAGATGAACTAGGATTTTGCATAAATTGAAATCATGAATTTTTTTTTTCACGGTAACATAGTCTTCTATCTATTCATCTTTCTTTCTTTTTGATTTCTTTGTCGCATTTTTTTATATTTCAAAAGTTCTACTTTCTTGCATTTTCGTCCCAATTTTTATCATACAAACATATATATATATATATATTAGTGATTACCTCGCGCGATACGTGTATAATTTAAATAAATAAAAATAAAATAAAATATTTATTATATGTTATATATTAGTTAAGTGATAAGAATTTTATTTATTTGACATAAATTTAAGGTTTAAATTCACTATTCTCATCTATCTAATTTTTTTTTTATTTTAAACAAAAAAATAGACACTTTGACATCATAAGAAACAAAAATTTCGAAACTACGGCAGATTGGGCTCCAAGTGTTACATGGCGAGTGGGGAATCAAAAGCTTCAAATGAAAAACAGCCACGTGCTAATCTGGAAGGTTGTCTTAAATGACTAATAGGTATGTTCTTTAGCGACGCCAAAACATAACCCCACAATTTTTAATATGAGCTGAACCATTCGGCAGTAAACTCAACACGTAGCTGTTTTTTTTATTTTGGTAGGACAGATTCTCACACCGATTGAATATGAATTT